AGTTCCTTCAAGATAATACAGTATCCTAGCATAAAACATTGGACAAAAAAAAAAAAGACGACTCTCAGTTCCTTCAAGACATTACAGTATTCTAGCTTAAGCAGCTGGACAGGAAAAATAGCTGTTAGTTCCTTCAAGATAATACAGTATCCTAGCATAAAACATTGGACAAAAAAAAAAAGACGACTCTCAGTTCCTTCAAGACATTGCACTATCCTGACACATTGATGTAGTGTTTTATGTAACACGCACTTTCTAATGTATCACTGAGACAGCGCGTCTACACGGCCGCTAAGTACGTGACACACCTCCTATTTGTTCTGTGGTTTTCTATCTAAAAACCCCTAAAACGCTCGCTAAAGAAAGTTCTCTTCTCGCGGTGTTACACGACATCATTCATCTTCTTGTTGTGATTTTCGCCAATACGTGAGAGCAAAAAAAAAAAACAGTTTAGGTCAAAATAACTATTTTTACTCTTATAGATTATTACTGTTTTCATAATATCAACATATCAAACGTAATTTGTCAGATATAATCAATATATTGGCCTCGAAGCTGTAGCCTTAGTATATGTTCTATACTCCATTTATTTTCGCTAAAATGCCATATAGCGACATAGGCTTCTTCTCCACGTCTTCGCTTGACGTTTTTGAAAGGCACCCTTACTGAAGCTATATATTTTAGAGAAAGGCTAGTGAGTAGTGTTTATTCTTGTCTGCACGATAACTCGAGGACCGAGTGGAAGTTCGTTCACGAATCTTAATACATCTTTTGCACGACATTTCCTGGAAATGTTTATTGTTTTATTCTGAAAGGTCAAAAGTCAACCAAATTTATTAACATTAGCTATCAAAAGAACTCATAAAACCAGAAGAAAAAAATCTCGAATGTCCACATAGATAACACACGCAATATTCTAAACTCAAGCTAATATAGAGTTTAACTTACTGCTCAATTTTTAACACTTGTTTTAACTAATAAAAATGCGTGTTGCATTCTGGAAAGTTGTAATTACGATTTTTTTTTATAATCATAACTTTATTTCTCTGTAGTATGTATAGCTATAGCAAAGCAAGTGATCTTGGTAATATTAAGTCGAACAGGTGCTTTTCATAAGCTCTCAAGAAGCGTAATAGGCCAACTACAGGACCACTAGAAAGCTTTATCTAGTTATTTATCTACATTCATAAAATGTGAGCAGCTGTTGCTACGTGTATAATAATACGTTTATAATTAACATTGGCTTTCTCATTAAAAAGGTTGATATAGCTATCTCGTTAAGGTAACTACATTTTATATACAGTGTCTGAGAATGGTGTTATCAAATATTGTACACTAATTATTACCACTTGTCCTGGATATGAAATACTTTTGACATGGAAGGCTCAATGTAATAGGCATTGCTTTGGCTACAATTAGAAAACATAGTATATAAAATTCAAAGGAAGATTACTTCCAAGCTGGCACAAGAATGCCAGGAGTCCAGAGAGTTAAGAAAAATTTTATTTTATTTTATGGGGCGCTACACATTCTTTGTTTTTCATAGTTTCTTTTTTCTCTAGCCCGCTTCTATTTTTTTTTTCCAATTTTTATTAAAGCAATAACTTGTGTTTTGGAGAGACCTTTTGAACTGGGATCCAATACATAAGGCCCCAGATGCTTCTGAACGGCCTTGGATACACTTAATTACGTAATAATGCGTGATTCCGTCGTTAATTATTTGTTCTCCCTCTTCACACATTGCATCATCTACACTGCAGCAAAGTTTTTTTTGCGCTTCAGTTGTATTATCAATCAAGATTTCATTATCGCTCATTTAGACATTGCCTAAGCACATGCTTGTCCAGGCCCGCCCTTGGTTACTTTTGTGGATACAACGGTATAAAAAAAAACATATTTGAAATACATTGATAAAAACAAAAGACCATAGGTGTCGCTGCAAAATGTATTGAAACACGATAATTTTTATATCTTAAGATTACAGCATTATCGAATTAAGTCGCGTCAAATGTTCAATATACTCTTCCTCTCTTTCAACAACAGATTGCAGATGAGACAGAACAGGACAGATAGCAGTACCAAGCATCACTTTAGTAACGTGCAATAACGTAATTGCGAATATTACTATTTGTTCAAGTATTAACTTTGGGTAGTTGAAACAACCTTAATAATCGACACCAAACTCACATTTTAACTGCACTTTCTAATTGCTTCACGTAATGTACAGGGTTTCAAGTTTACCATGCAGCGCCACCTGTGGTCTTTTTAAAAACTTATTTCGTCTCACTCCTGTATATAAATCGATTATGCTAAAACATTTAATTCGTAATGAAGATAATAGCTATAAACATAACAGAAATTTTTGTTAATTACTTTATAATTTTTTATACAAATTCATCTTTACCTAAAGTTGTTAAACGAATCATGCATATTTTCCTTTAAGTACTTTTTATTATGTTTACATGCATATTAATAAATGCCTATGTGAACCATTGAAAACAAATTAAAACGTTATTAGGTATTACGTTAAGCAATATATCAACAAAATGTACGTATTTATAAAGAAACATGATCAAAAACCTTACTTACAGATCAAATATTAAGTAGTGAAATGATTCCTCTTGAATGCTGTCATGGAGACGAACTGGAAAAGAAAACAGAACTCCAGACAGAATGCAATTAGAATTAATTAATTACTTTAATTAGGTATAGCTGTCATTACTCATTTATCAAGTTTTCTCCATCTAGTTTCTTTAAAGAACAAACGTTTCAATATTAATGTATAAACATTAGCCCTTGAGCGGATTCTTTGAACAAAGAATACGGCACCTGAATAAACACGCCTAGAAAATAAAAAAACTTTAATTGATACACAGATAGCAGTCCTATGCTCAGAATACAAGAAAGACGCTTCATTATACACACACGTATTGGAAATAATTGTGAAAACAATGAAATGAGTATAAAATGCAAAGATTATGGGACTGTTTCCACTCAATTGTATGAAAGTGAACTGCACCACAATGCTGTCATGTGTTGATATAGTTTACACTGTGAATGGCTACCATCCAACTAATCAGGCAGTGTTACAGCAACATAATACACATAAAAGTAGAGACAATCATACTATTCATATCAATTGTGTGGTGAATGCATTCGTAACATCTAGGGCAGAAATGCCGCATGACTAACATGTAGAAATCAGATTAAGGCGAAATTTCATGTTTCAGTAAAAGTTGTATGGAAACTCTTAAAATTGATTAAACTTGCCTTGTTTTTAGAGCAGAGCTACACAATGTACTATCTACGCTCTTGTTCACCACAGGAATCAAACGCTTGATTTTAGCATTGTAAGCATACATCTGATCCACCGGGGGTGGGGGTGGAGGGCGAAACTTTTAGGATGGTACGTAAAAAAAGCACTATTGATAGTAGAAGTTGTCGAGGTAGAAAGCCCAAACCTTTAAAAGTAATGTCAAGTATCTTGGGGTTATGTTCTTCTCGTCATACATGACAATTTATTAAAAATGTTACAAATGACCTAGCTATAAGTACAAGAGTGAACGTTAACACTAAGAAACACAGCAGTATGAAATGGCATCAATAGATATGTAGCTGCTCAAAACACTGCTTATAAGAGATAACCAAACCAAAAGACTGAAATGGGAACAAGACTTCACAAATAGGACGAACAAAAGTTAGAGGGGGGTGTTCTTTACATATGAATACAAAATCAAATTGTTTGATAACAATCAACGATAATTTGTTCGATGGCAGAGAGAAGAACGTTAACTTCGTCAACGTATAACATTTACAGTGA